ATTAATGCTGATATTAGATACTGTAAACCTATTAATATTAGCGGCTATTTTATTTAGCGTTTATGCTTTAATGTCAAATTAGCGACTATTAAATTTGGCGTATCATTAAACCTTTCCCACTTTTCTGTTAGCTGCTGCTGTTGTTCCACTGGGTTCTCCTTCCTCTGGTAGTGTTGCCGACCGAGCAGAAGAGAGCCATCTACTAGTATAGTATCAGCATAGATACTGTATCTATGGTATCAGCGACATTTTTGATCACGTGACCAAGTGTTTTTATTAGCGAATATTAAATTTAGCGTGTTTAGGCTCTTCGCTAATATCGCTAAAATAAGTAGCACGCTAAAATTTGTAGTTTTACAGTAATTATTGATAATGTTCAAGTTTGTTATTAATTGCTAATGATCATAATTAATATATTAATTATTATAATATTAAAAGTGTTTCTTTGTGTAATGAACTTACATTGGAACACATTACATTGTGATATAGCACTAAAAGGTAGGTTTACAAAATTACGCTTGTCCACAAGAGTAGGATTTTCATTTCATATTTTTTTGATTGTTTGGAATCCTACTTGTCCTCGTTTCCATTACTTTTTGATGAATTGACAGAGTGAATTCTACTCAATCTTTTTAGAAATTTTTTAAAAATTCATGGTCTCGGGCCAGATTTCACTAAAATTGAAAAGGAGAGAATTCTGATTAGAATTTTGTTATACATTGAAAACAGTCACTGTCCATTTTGAGAAGCAGCTACAGGAGACTAATATTATGGGCTATTGGCCTGTTGCCTGTGAAACCATGTGCTTACCTCATCTAAGAATATATTACTTTACTTCTACCAGTTGTTTATTAAGATACTTATTAAATTATAGTTTCCTTCAGTACAATCATTCTTGTGGTTTAAGAGAAATCAATTTTTATTATAGTGTTTACAATCATCTAAAGTATACTTTAGATCTTAAACGCTATAAAATCATGTATAATAAAAATTGATTTCTCTTAAGCCACAAGAATGACTATACTGAAGGAAACTATGATTTAATAAGTATCAACTGATTACAAGCAAGTGGTATAAGTGGTCAATTTGAGGAGCTGCTCTCGACTTCAAGGAGCCTGAGTGAGACCTTTTTAATACCACTTGTTTGTAATCAGTTGTTTATTGAGATATTTATTAAATTATAGTTTCCTTCAGTTCAATCATTTCTGTGGTCAGTGATATCAACAGTATCAATAATTTGTACTATGTGTGTGTCAATATAGCACATGTAGCAGGTGTGTACATGTAACAGTGAATATTAATGTAAGTGATTATTTTCTTCATTTGTCATAGAGTGATGTTCGTACAGAACAGTTTGAGATATGATATGCTACAAGAAAGACAAGGGAAGCAGCCATTACTGAGAAAAAGCACCAGCAGTAAATAATAATAAATAAATAATAATAAACTATATTTCTCTCTCTTCTCTATTGCTTGTGATAAAATGCTCTTACATGCATGAATAATTTATTTTTTAGTATTATTAGGTATATATATATATATATATATATATAGTCTCTCTCTGTGTGATCTGTAATGCTAACCTGCATGTAGCTGTTGCTACCAATTTGATATTCCAGAGTATTTTTATCACTTTAGCTTCTCTACAATGCTCTTTTTTCTCTATTTAGCATTACACAGGGCTCATTTAACTGGTCAAAAATTGATCATGATTTCTTAAAGAAACCAAGCATGAGGGAAATTCATGTAATAATAATTAAAATAATAATAACATGTAATTTATCATTATTGTCAGTTCAGGCTTAATGTTGTTATTAGCGATATTCATAGCGGTTATATAAAGCACATCTGCTATCCTTCAACAATAAGTCACATCATTTGATTGGGTAATCTTGTATTTTTTTTATTGGTATCTGTTTTGCAAGTTTTTATCCTAAAATTTACCAAAATAATGCAATCTTGTTTACAAGATATAGTTATATAATAGTGCTGGTAACTTGTGGTAATCCTGGTATAACACTGTGTTGTGATGACATAACATAAACTACAATGTACATTGCCACATTAAGTGACTGCTGTGTCAGGTGAGGTATGCATGGTATGTTATTATTGAGTTAGTTATTATAAATAGTGTAGACTGTAGAGGCTGTTTACTGGAGGAGATGTCATCAAGTAAGTGACCTGTTTTCTTTCTCTCCCTTACTTTACTCCTCTGTATCCTCTCCTTATTATAACTACTCACTATATTACTGTGTCCTCTTGTTATCTATAGTCTATCAACCAGTGGAGAGGAACGATCACTCTACAGTACAGGTAGGAGACTACCTGTACATGTGGGGTGGGGACCAGCCTGGTCTCCCTAAAGTACACAATAATGAGAAGAAGAGATCAATGTGTTCTGTAGTGGAGGTCTGTCACCTACCAACTGGTGAGTGGGTACAAAAGCCTACCACTGGTGACCCTCCACTTGGTGTTGGGGGATATGCTGCTGCTGTCATTAGAAATGAAATATTCTTTTTTGGAGGCTATTGTGGTCATCTTGGCTGTTATCATAATAGCTTATACAGGTAAACATAATAGTTACTGATAAATGTTATATAATATTTTATACAGTTTTAATGTTGATACCTTCAATTGGAAGGAACTCTCTCCTACTACATCTCATCATGGTCCTATGATGAAGTCCTTCTCTCGCATGATAGCAATAAAAGTGAACGGTGAGGACTATCTTGCAGTAATTGGAGGACGTGGACCATCTTCTATGAATACCCCACCACAACCTGGTGCCCAGTACAGTGGAGCTGTTTTTCAATGTTGCAATGAAGTCCATATGTACAGATTAAAAACTGGTCAGTATAATATGATATTAGGTTTATAAATGTAGTTTATACTTATTATAAATTTACTTATTAATATTATATGTGTGTATGTCATCATAATCCTCCTGATTAACTGATAAACAACTAGTAAATACTAATGCACTCGTTCAATGGGTCAAACAGAACTTGCATGCAAGAGAGTGTGTGTGTGTGTGTGTTCATATTATTTTTATTATTTTTAGGTGAATGGACTTCACCAACTGTCACTGGACACAGACCACCTCCTATTAATTCCTTCACTTTAATATCAATAACTAATACCACTGCTATATTGTTTGGTGGTTATACTGGTAGTGATGGATGGAGTAATGATGTATATGTATTTGAATTTACTGATACATCAGTGGTGAGTGTATTATTAGTATAATTACATGAATAACATGTATTAATTAATAATGTATTGTACATGTATGTGTGTATTATTATTGTGTGTGTGTGTTTTATGATAATTAAATATTTTATTATTAGAAATGTACAAAGTATTCTAATCCTCGAGGATCAGTATGGCCTGAGGAGATAAGTCGTCATTCCAGTGTATTGATCAACTGTAGCTCAGGACCACACCTACTAGTGGTGGGTGGAGATGGTACCAATGACTGTTGGTTGTTACATATAAACAAAATGGAATGGAAAGAACTGGTAAGTATTATAATATAATTGTGATGAGCATGAGTGAGTCCTACTAGTACGAGACCACTGTGATCTGTCTGTCTGTACATGTACGTCACTCCTCAATGATAATCAATTTAATACAGTACAACTGGTCAGTATAGACATGTGCATATGATAAAGAAATGAAAGATTATGCTATGAGTAGTTTTTAAGAAAGAGCTCATGAAGCTTGCCTTTGTTGTCATTTTTGTGAGTGTGATTGACAATGGAGAAAGGAGGAGGAGAGAGAAATCATTCTTATTAACCAGATATATTATTTTATCATTATTTTTAATTATATAGACTAATATACCAGACAGTGTCACCGATAGAGATTATCATTCTCTCTCAGTTTGGAATGAGACACAGACCACTCACTGGATAATTGAGTTTGGAGGAGAGAGAGATGATGGTTCATCAATCAGTGATACAAGATTTATTGAAATGAGTGAGTACATGTATACATTAGTAGATACAATGTGTATTGAATATGTAATAATAATAATATTACAATAAAGAATGAGTGAGGGGTGTGGCTTTATGTACGATTGTACACGCTTACTAAAATTAATTTACTGTATAGCATTAAAAGTGTGAATTCTACCAAGATTTGAATTTTTAAAGTGTGTATTTGTGGGTGGGGCAACTTTATTATTATTATTATTATTATTATTATTATTATTATTATTATTAGTATCTAGTACTGGTGATTTGGTAGTACAGTCAGTACTGGACATTAATGAATATCAGAAGAGAAGAGTACTGGAGGGACTTGCAAAAGGTACATGTATAAATCACTCATACATATATGTACTTATGGAATCCCAAATGATGAAAAAATTATCACTCAGTAATGTAAATTAATCAATAGTGTGATAATTATTATGCTAAAAATCATTTTTTTAAATCCACTTTAGCTCATATTAAAGACACTAGTACTGCATCAGATAAAGGTAAGACTTATGATGAACTAGTGAATTATTATTGAACTTATTAGACATTCTGGACAAAGTACCTCAAAATGGTGACCTCTTTAGATTGTTCAAAAGTTCTGCTGCCCATTATATGATCATTGGGACTGCACTTGATGTACAAGTGAATGACCTGCTACCTACTCCAGGGGCTGCTACTGGTAACCTCATACTAGTGTTCCAGAGATGGATGGACTCCAATAAAGGAGTGACCTGGAGGAAAGTACTTCAAGTTTGTGATGATTATCCAGACCAACTTGGAAGAGTAAAAGCTGAAGTGGAAGGATTTCTATCATCAGACAGAGCCCGTGATAGCTATTAAGAATATTATTCTGTCTTTTTCTGAGTGACTGCATGTTATTATACTAGTTCATTTAATCCTTTGCAATTTTAATTTTAATGTCCATTTTGAAACATTAGCTATAACTCAAACATTTTTGTTGGAATCAGCTCAAATTTTCTACAAAATTAACATAAGGACATCAATATGTACATATGTATCAGAAGATATAATAAAAATTGGTGGTGATTTTGGAGCCATTTTTTGGAAAAAAAACCATAGGCTATTTTTGGGCATTTTTCAGAATTTTGGAATATTTTTAAAATGGTTTTAACTTGAAAAATTGAAGTCAGAATCAGCTCAAACTTTCTACACAGCATAAGGACATCAATATGTACCAAAAAATGTAATAAAAATTTGGGGTGATTATTTGAAATAAAACTATGAGTGTTTACAATTATCAAAAATAATATTATAAGTACACTATTAGTAGTGTCAGACAACTTGTAACTGCAACAGTGTAAATTGTAATAAGCTGATGTTGACTGGATCAATGTTCTTAAAATGATGTACATTATTTTAAAGAAACATTAAAAAATTTTATTAACAGCATAACAAAGAAGCAGCAAATACATTATACTACTATTAGTTTTAGCAATAATATAATAAATACAATAATTATAATAGTCAAATTAAAAAAGCACAATAACTAAAATACTAATGATAAGTAATATCAATGCATATAAACACATTCAATAAAGTTAATGTATAAAACCTATGGCATGTAAAAGAAATCTCATTTCAATAAAAAGTGGAGCAGAAACAAGTACACAAACTATTAATGCTCATAAACAATACAACATAATATACAATACAACAATGAATGATTTATAATAACAAAAATAAGAATAATGAACCAGAGGAAATCATCATAATGCTGCATATTGTATAACAACTACCAATAGAAATAATAAATAAATACTGAGCATTACTTTACTGTAAAAAAACATCATTAAAAATAGAAAAATTGCCCTGCTGCGAAAATGAAGAAATTACCTAACAAGAAGTCTCCATTATTCTTGAAGGTATTAAAGTTAACAAGAGAGAGATTTGATGCCATAGTGTTAATATAATGAAGAAAGGAAACGATCGAATGTGTTTGTGTAGAAGTGAAGGTGTAGTAGAGAATGAGTGTGATGTGGTGAATTGGTAATACGTACAAAAGAATTGAAACGATTCCAACAAAAATGAACAAAAAGAATGAAGTACGACAATGACAATTACAAGAAAGCAATCCATTTTATGTAGTATTATAGTTTAAGATCT